CCCACATCTATTTAGGGTTTCCCTGTCTTTTGGCAGCTAGAATCATCTGGAGGTATCTCATATCGCTTCGAACCTTGGCACTGTATCTGTTTCTCAATGCCCTCAAAAAGATCATCCTGTTCATTCCCAGTCCATTTAATAGCGCTGCATACATGCTCAGTCAGTCCGGAACTTTCGATGGCTGCGGCGATTCTCCTGGGGAACGGAGATGTGAGAGTTGTAACCTGTTTGCTGAGATTTAGAGATGGATTGTTGACATTTACTGCAAAGTATATTTCGCCAAACCCAAGGAATGGCAGCTGCATTATTACCTCAGTCAATTTACCTTTCTGATCACTTCAAGTAATTCTACAAGTGTGAGGTAGGTCTATTATTCTAGCAGATAATTTCGCTTATAATGGCTTGAACCTAAACACTGCAAACCTTTAAATTACTATTAATGAGCGGTTATGGTTTATGATCCTTGGTAATGAGCTTTATAATAAATGCATATCTATTATACTTCTGAGGGAGCTGAGATTGGATTATTCTGCACACTTCTTGAGATGTTGCGTGCTTCACGTCCTATAACAACGGACGCCACAGAATATTCGGTGGAGAAAGACCTCCTCCTACAAACGAACTTGAATGTCAAAAATTTAAGGAAAATTCACTTCGACTGTAAATACCGAGTTAAGGCCAAAGGATACTATTTCATAAATATTATAGAACATATCTATAATAATAATTTGAAATTTTACTTGACGTGACGTCGTCATGAGCACGGTGCGAACTAAAACAGTCTTTACATCTAGGAACGGTGTCCTCTGTCTGGTGAACAAATGCTTGAGCTCTTCACTGATCAACCAGGTACTGGCTGTATCGGCAGTAAAATCACTAGTATATCTGATTTGAAACTGCTACTAAGAATTAGATGTCTATAACATTCAAACTAGATTCACAAAAAGAAACAATTATTTGGAGTTATTGGAATAATTTTCCCAGTTATACAAGTGAAACTAGAAAAGGGTGCTCAATATTAACCCTTAATAATCACGAAAAATGGTAGTTTCGCCATCATACAAATCGAATGGAGACAATGAGGTACTGTGGGAGCACTCTTTGTGTCCTAGAGGACAGTTTCACAAACTACCGCATAACTGATACATACTCTTCTAGCATTTTGGAAGGCGCACTTCTGCTTGTTGCTCAGCACTTTCCACAGATCCTGTATGTTAATTCATGCAGTTTATCGATTACTCAAGTGAACATAAAGCTAATCACTTAAATTGCATTCTGCAGCTTGTTTCTTCAATTCTGGAATAAATTTTAACTTTTTGCATCCGCTGACGAATGAATTTTCAAAATTTGTTCTTTCAAGCAATCTGAAGTTTTCACGTACTGTACAGTTGACAGTTTTTTTAAAGAACTTCGATAGGAAGCGAAGTAGACAAATCTGGTAGTGCTGCACACATTGCCAAGTTGTGATAGTCCTTTCCGATTAATCTAAAAACATGAGTCAAACTTTTTTCCTTCCTACTGCTGATCGTCCTGATTTCAACTCTCCCTATAGACTCGTTGAAGGCCTCAGCACTGAAATATATATCCATTTATCCACTTACGGACTACTCTGTGGCTCAATTACGCCAACCATAGGTGTGTACTATCCAACAGTACCTAAAACTGTCCAATACGTACACTCTTGTTTACGCATAATTCAGGGCTAAAGTTTGAAAGAATTTTAGGCACAGTTATAAGCAATTCATTAAGGGCTCGGAATAGTTTCATAATCAACCTGAAAGGGGAAAACCAACAAGTACAAGTAACAAATGATCCCATGCCCCTCCTTATGTCTAAATGGGCTGAATGAATTGTGTGAAGTGTTATACCTAATATAGATAATTAAATTTACCATCAGAGTGTTTGTTTAGTAACTTTATCCACTCACTTTCAGAGGAATGGACTAGAGAAAAGAAGCCCAGACAATCTTTATTGGCCTTCGCTCATCAGTCTTTACGAAAAAGTGAAAGGCGAGGATGCAATAAAAATCTTTTAATATACATCAATCAAAAATTCATAATATATGATATGGTTTATAGTTCTAACTGTTAAGCTGGCTTGGAGGTATAAAACTAGCTATCTGGATGATGAGATGGATCCCTTATGTTAGTGGTGCTTGGAAAGTCACAGAAAGTTCCTAAACTTCGCAACCAACATTTCGACCAACTGATCTGCCTGGTAATGTGATAGATGCTGGTATCCAGAATCTCTATATCCCCGACACTAATATACTCGCTTGAATTAGTTGACCTGCAAGTTAATAAATGATTACCGCGATGAATAGAATCTCGCTTATTACTTCTGTTTCCTCTCCCCTGCTTACACTTCAGTCCTCTCGCACAATCTTTACTACCGAATAATAAACTAAATTGTCCATTTATTTACGTAGTTCAGAAATATTCTCATTCCTGTCAGCGTTTTTAGCGAGTTAGTTTTCTACGGGATAGGGTATCAACCCAAAGCCCAACCCTCCTCCCCAATCAGGGGTTGAGACCGGCAGTAGCCTTGTAGGATCTACAGGCGGTGTTAAAATCTCCTTATTAGCATAAGAATTTTCGCCTTATTACTCTCCACACTGCAACCAGCTGATCTCCGGCTTGGGAAGGGGATAGTTGCTGGTCTCCAGAAACCCCAGTTCACTGAAACAAACGCACTCATTTAAATCACAGGGCGTACAAACTCACAAACAGCTGCCAACTGACTAGAATTAGGCAGTCGAGGGGCTAGACCCTCATCCACAGAAAACTACCAAACATATGGAAGGGACCAAACGAACGAGAATTGAGTGCAGAGATATCAACTGGTTTATACTGGATATTGGATGTTGGGAGTGGAGTCGGGTGGTTAGCCTACAAATGATTGGACATTATTAAAAATTTTGAACAGTCCAAAAACCACAAATAGCTGGGCCACAGAAATCTATGAGTTCGTCCCATTTAGTGAGAAAAGAATTAAGCAATTGGTCAAGACATGGCTTACATAAGGCAGTTAACATATTATTTGTTAAAATGCACCATTATTAGTTACTCGTGAGGTTGTATGTATATGGCGGTATTTTAATTTACAGTAAACACTGGGAATAACTTCGTAGCTATTATAAGGTAGTACCATTTGTATCAATGTTTACCATTAATGCAATTATTTTTTACATTCATGAAGAACTTCCTGTGATATTTTTCTCATATATATATATTGAAAATTTATAAGTGTCCATATCTTCATATCTATCCAAAAAGAGTCGAAAAAGCGGCTCAGTTATACACTTAATTAGTTGTGCTGAGAAATCCATATGTTTTTAAATAGAACATCTGCATAAGTTATCCGGTTTATTGCTCAAAACAGCTTCGTGTAATTCCAAAAATATCGGTGTTTTTGAATTCAAGAAATTTAGGTGGATTTTCAGTTATTTTGCAAATTCCTTTGCGCTTCGTAGTTGAATTAGGAGCCAGAGAAAATTAAGGGAAAACTCTCGGATTAACCTGAAGTTCCCTAGTGCTTTGGTGTCTGACCAAATCTCGGCACAGATTTTGTAAACATGGTAGTCACTTTTTAACCTCTGTCACCCGAGGCTTAGGCAAGATGTCCATCTGCCAAACATAAGGCGTATATAGCACTTGTATGTCCGCTATGTTTTACTTCATAATCGTGAGTGGTGATCGACGAAAGTAGAAGCGCTCAGGCTAAAAGTTTTTGAAAACTGATATCCTCAAAGAAGCGCTTTAATTTCGTGGAGTAGCTAAATGAATACTGTTAGATTCAAACACAGAGCGTTTAAAGACGATTGAGAACCGTTTGACAAAGTAGTATTTATTCACCGGCAGAAGTGGTTAAGATGCGCATCACGTTTACTCAACCACCGCTTACATGAACAGGTGATACTTGCCAGTGCAGAAATACTCTGTAAGAAAGCTAGGGACTGCCAAGCCAAACAAGGCATCAGTTTGTGAAGTCATTGATTGTGGGAAGATGTTGACTACCTAGTTGAGATTAGCATGATAATAACGATTATCAAGACTTTGGTTGACATGGTTAAGAAACGTTCTCACCAGCTTTGATCCACTCCTTTTTTTCATCTTAAATCGTAGTTTCTCCTCGAGTATACTTTTTCAACCTGTCTTTCCAAACTATAGCCCTATGGCTTAGTCTTTAGTTTTATTATTGATACTGTATTTTTTCGATTTCTCCTGTTATTTTCATTTCAATATGTAAATGGGATGTGTGAAATTAGCTTAAAAGTCATTCGTGCAGAACTCTATGTTAATGATATCTATTACTTTAAGAGAGTTTATGGCTTAATCTATTAGTATCATTGTGAATTTTCTGTCAAACATATATATTTTTGAAACTATGAATCGATCAATGTTAGACCACCATTAGAAACCTGGAAGCACTGAAAGACAGCCGTTTCGTCTTGGCATGGTACTCCTCAGCTGTGCGCACCCACGACTCCTGCACCCCGCAGGATTCGAACCCAGGACCTCCAGTATTGTGCGCGAACGCCCAAACCGTTAGACCACTGAGCCGGTATTTAACGGTGTTAATGTCTAACTTGATCAAATTCACGGAGTTGCGCAACCTCATACACAGTGTTCGGCAGGTGCGGTATACACCCGAACAGGTTGAACTTCACTGGTCACGTCGTGGATACGCACTACTGATGAGTCCCGTACCAGGACGAAACGGCCGTCCAGTGCTTCCAGGTTTCTAATGGTGGTCTAACATTGATCGATTCATAGTTTCAAAAATGTGTAACTTAACAATCTTCACAACCCCGTAATGCAAACATATATATAGCAAACTGTAAACAAAATAGCGTGCACTCGAATATTTACACTTATGATTGTTTCTTTTATCTTCACCATGATGAATACTAATATGCTTCCTCAGTAAAATACTTTTTTTCTAATTTATCTTATTTTCTTTTAACTTCCATAGTGAATTAATTAATCAGGCATCAAATTATGTCACTATCAAACTTTTCCAGTCTAATTCTCAACGATTTACCAATTCAACAATTTTGTATGTTTTTTTTTAAAATTCGTCTACATAATTTGTAAATCAGCTTCAAATGATTTAAATGTCTATTTACAAGATTTAATCAATCAACTTTTATACATTAAAGAATCTGGCAATTATATAAATATTAAGTCATTTCTATCGAAATAGTATGTTTTCAGCAAGTTTATAACATTTTTTTAAAAATTAATATTTATTAGTTTTGAACATGTTATCAATGGAACACATATTCTATTTCGAGAATTTCAATATATATCAGCTAATTCATATAACAGATTAACATTTTTATTTAATTTATGGAATACTTTCCATCATTCATTCAAAGATAAAAGTAAATTTTTCTTCAATAGAGTTCAATAATTCTCATATTCTATAGATTTCACTATTGAAGAATTCTATTCAATGGTTCAATTGTTTTGTTTTGATTTTCCTAATGAAATATTCTGCCATTGTCAAAAGTAATTTATATTTATAGATGATAAACCAAAACGAATGGTTGATCATTTTATAGAACTTTGAAAATACTTCACAATTCTACACAAGTTTATCCATATAAAGATTTATTCTGTGTATTTCAATTTCATTTCTATTTTCAAGTTATGTTTATAAATTTTTTTTTGAAAAAATTATTTTCTTAAATTATTATTATTATTATAGAATTTATAAATGTTTTAATGAATGAATTTACTGAAAATGACGAATCTCATGAAAACAGTTTGATGATATTGAACAAAAGAAAAAAGATCAAATCTGTAGTGAATAAATCAGGTAATTTTAATTGTTCATTATAAGAATTTAGATTAATTCAATGATCAATTTAATTTAAAGAATCAATTATAAACCAATACTGATCAATCATCAATTGATTAGCGCAAAAGTAACTTGTTTAACTGTGACACTGGATGGCGCGGATTTTGAATACCTTAGTCTTCAAACGAAATTGTTCTGTTAACAAGTACTAGTTAGCTCAAAATCTAGTTTAAACACAGTTTCTTAGTAATTGTTTTCAATTTTGTGACATAAATAGTTAGTATATTATTTGGCTTTGATTGACAATTCGAATAGCCATCGTGAGTCAGGTGTTCTATCATGAAACAATGATTAGAGATTGTATTGATTACTTGTTTTTTCTGATATTTTTTAATTAATGTGTTTCATAGTTTTGTAATGGTTTTTTTTTGAAAAAATTTCATATAGACATTTCCAGTGATGACAATAAGCATTCTCATAAATCAGTGGCTTCTGAATGTTGTTTTAATAGGAACATATTGATTATTAATTTACCAGATAAATATGTAGATTCAGCGAGATTTCTCAAATTCACACGTGATTTATATGCTGAATCAATTTTGGTGTAAGTTACATTTTTATATAACTACTAAACGAAATATATATATTTATATGCTAATTTGCTTAAATTTACCCAAGTATTAAATGACAATCTGATATATTTAGAGTCTAAACCAATAATAATATTCATATTTTATATTAAAATTATGAGTGAATCACTGTTAGACCACCTGAAAGCATTGGAAGGCTGCTTCATCCTAGGATGAGAATCTCTAGCAGTACGTATCCATGACACCTTGCTCTAAGGAATCGGACCCAGGACCTTCGGTCTCGCGCGCGAATCCCAAACACCTCTAGACCATCGAGCCGGCATTCAACGGTGTTTCGTGGCTAACTTTGATCAATCCGAGGTATTGTGTTAGATCACACCATAACTCTATCATAAATGTTCATATTGTTTCATTTCGGTGAACAGAAATCATTATATCATTTTCGGTTATGTTCAAGGTTATGTACTAGAGATCAAAGCTCATGGTTTCGCATGATTAGTTCATACAAAAAAAAACACATCATGTTGACACAAGAACCAGGTTATTAAACAACCAATCATCATGTTAATCCACATTGTGTAGTTTGTAAATAATTTGGAATTTGTTCCACTGATAGATACTATTTGTAACATGCCTAAGTAAATAGTACAGTAAATTTCAGGGTTAAGTTTACATGTTCATTGATTGTTTAACATTGAAAATCAATTGCCGAAATGTTTTATATTTGTTTCTCTTTTCAAACAAAGTGTTATGAAAATAACTAAATTGAATGTTAAACATAGATAACTTAGCCAACTAGTTACTTGTTGGCTACTTGTTGTTCAACTGATGGTAGAAAAGTAATGAGTTAAAATCAAGTGAATTTCAGATCATTTTTTATAATTTGTCACATATTTCAAGTTGTTTCTTACATATCACAGAGGCTAACAATCCTAGTATGTTTAAATAATAGACGTGTGTAATACTTTTGTCCATGTTTTGACCATATATGATTTTAGAAACCTGGAAGCCGTTTCGTTCTGGTATGGGACTCATCAGCAGTGCGTATCCACGACTCCTGCACCTCGTGGATGCACACTGCTGAGTGTAACACACTATTTTGACAATCTAACCAAAGAGAGTTTGAAAATTTATAATGAATATATACTTATAAGTATAAAGTGTAATGAATATATTCACGTTCAATATTCACTTCACTGTACAGACTGCCGCCAAAATCGATTGTACACAAATATGCTAAAACATATCTATTTCATTCGGAATTGAATCTTTATGGTTTATTCTCATCTTTGGCAACAGATCAATTGCTAATGAAGGAAATAGGTAAATTACTATGATTTTGATCTATTTTTTAAAACTTGTTATTTAAATTAACCGGTAATCCAATTCTTATCACATCAAATCTCAGCGTGTTCTACGCTAATCTTAATGAACTGGGATACTCATCAATGTTTTTTTTATTAAATACAACAATTATCTGTATGATTCTTTTATTTTAGGGACTGTAGTTGATCGATTTGGAATAGACAGTTTTTTTATGATTGCTTGATGTGATTTGTCAGGTTGAATTATTGACATTGTTGCAATGCATTACGGGGTTGTGAAGATTGTTAAGTTACACATTTTTGAAACCATGAATCGATCAATGTTAGACCACCATTAGAAACCTGGAAGCACTGGACGGCCGTTTCGTCCTGGTATGGGACTCCTCAGCAGTGCGCATCCATGACTCCTGCACCCAGCAGGATTCGAACCCAGGACGTAAAATGATCAAGTTAGACATTAACACTGTTAGATACCGGCTCATTGGTCCGATGGTTAGGCGTTCGCCTACAATACCGAAGGTCCTGGGTTCGGATCCTGCTGGATGCAGGTGTCGTGGATGCGCATAGCTGAGGAGTCCCATAACAGGACAAACGGCCGTCCAGTGCTTCCAAGTTTCTAATGGTGGTCTAACATTGATCGATTCATTGTTAGAATGATCTAATTCTCTGATCATATGTTAACGTACGATTATTTACATAATATTTAACTTAGATAATGAATTCTTTTTTTTGTTAGTACTCATTTAGTGTAAATCTAATTGTTGTTGTACACATACTATAGATTTACATTGTGTAGGTGGTTTGTGTGTGCGTGTGTGTGTGTGCGATGACGTAACTTCATTACAATGAATACTAGTTAATAAATCTTGAATGTTCATAGAAAAGAAACTTGCACTTTGGTACTTTATTCCGTTGAATAACTTTACAAACTATTTTAAGAGTCAATTATATCTCATGTTATAAGTATCACTTATTATATTTTTGCCGCTGAATTTCAATTTACCAAAAACAAATAACTATTACTATTTCACTTAAAGTTTAATCATAGTGTTGTTGACGGAGGAAGCAATGAAATTTTATTTCGTCATTTTTTACTGCATTACAGTTTTCAACCATAAAACTAATCACAAAAAAGAATATAAATAAAAAGCGTCACACAACTATTTTTTTTCTGTGTCAACAACTGTTCAATAGCACGATTTTTAAGCTTTAGAAAGGGTCAGGTCAACAACAATAATACTTTTAGACGTTTAATGAGATTGTTTGTATTTTCAATTAGAGTTATGAAGATGAGTGTTTTTACACATTTGAAATCAATCAATCAATCATTGTTAGACCACCATCAGAAACCTGGAAGCACTGAAAGACGACCGTTTCGTCCTGGTATGGGACTCATCAGTGGCAGTGTGCATCCACGACTCCTACATCTCGCACGATTTGAACCCGTGACCTTCGGTATTGTGCGTGAACGCCTAACCTCTGGACCTATGAGTCAGCCGGCATCCAACGGTGCTAATGTCTAACTCTGATTGATTGAGATTATTATAACCTATGTCAATTAAATGTGTATTATTATTGTTAAACAAATTGAACCATAGGTGATTGGAGAACAGAAGTGATCTAGTTTCATACCATTATGAAATGGGACGAATTCATCATACTGTAAAGTGTGAAGATAATCACCTATTTTAAAAAATATTTATTAAAAGTACAATATATAAAGTATTTTCTAGCACATCCTGTTCACTCTGTGTGTCATCTCTGCGAGTAAGCATATGATGTCCACTGAGGATTTCATTCTAGTTATGTAAAATGATCTACGTATGTCTTCTTTGAACATGCCACTATAGCGTATATGTACACTTACTAGATGAAAGAAACTTATTTAAATTGAAATTTAGAGCTTAAAAAGAAATCCTCAGGTTCATTTTCATCACATGGTAGCTTGATGGAGAAACCATTTGTGAAATACACCCTTTTTTAACTTTTCTTAACTTGCACTCATTAGATAGAGAAATACACTATTCTGATTTTGCCTGACTTGATGTAAGTAACCTTTCTAAAAGATAATTTTGTTTCAAGATAGCATACAATCATGTAATATAGAAAACAGATCAAATCGATTAGTTTGATGTTGTTATTCTCTGAGCTGGTTGGTTTAGTTTATTTTAACAACATCTTTAGTAAATACTTCAAAAGGGAAGTGAACTAGTAAAATTCTTTCACATTCGACTAACCTTTTTGTTTTACTTATCTAGAATTTAAGTAGCTGTTGTCTGAAATTGTGTAACAGTCATTCATTCTCAATATTTCAATCAATCAGGAAAAAAGGTCGACAACTTCTAGTTCAGAGATCAGGTTAAAGTAGAAGGCCATCTAAACAATAGTCGTTCACCCATGAATACCGGCTAATCAAATTCCAGGTTCATAGGAATAAGCTGACAGTAGGTAGGTAGGTAGGTAGGTAGGTAGGAAGACACTTAAAGCTCTATAACTGAATCCTACAGTTTAAGAAATGTAATTCCTTTAGAATCCTCATTTACCAGTTAAAAATATTTTCAATCATTCTGTTAGGATATTCATCCAATACCTTCAGAGAATTATTGATATCAATGTCACGTGCTCCAATATTGTTTCTTATTGGTTGTCCTGACTATCAATATCACTTCAAATGTTACTTCCTATTGGTCGTCTTAACTGTCAATGTCACAGACTTCGATGCTGTTTCCTATTCGACCAAAATGTAAAAAATAAGCATTATTTGTAACGTTTTATGACCAGGACCCGGATCCCTACTCCGGGATCCTGATTCTCTTCTGGACTCGGAGCTCGTACTTTCTGGATACTTTTAGAATACAGGTTCTACTTCATATCAAGTCTTGTCTTCTTTTACTCAATATTGGGGTTGTGATAATCGGATGTGAGTAGCATGTCGTGTCGCCGGATCCTCGATCCTCGCTCTCGTCTTCCGACTAATGTAAACTCGCGACAGTTCAAGTATATCAAGTTGACGTGTTTATGTGCAGGCGTAACACACTCATTTGAGTATTTTAAATATTTAAAACAATAAATTCATTGTTTAATTGAAGTTATTATTGATTCTTACCAATCTTATTAAACTGTCTATCTTTTTTCTTTACTTTTCGTTTAGGATTTCCTCCAGTTTATGAATCTTGATGATTGTGAATCGAAAGAAACGAACAATCAAACAAACAAACAGAGTTTTAGCAATTCCATAGGTTTATTATAAAAAGAAATACACTATGAACTAGCTAGGTATTTTTTAAATTTGTAAACAATAGAATCACGTGTGTATTGTTATTATTATGTAACCCGATCAAGATAATATACAAATTAAAATGCAAGTTTCATTTTCTCACTACGTATGTATATATGTATATGAATATATATTTCTTAATCCACTAATCTTCGATCAATAATATTTATTCATTTGTTAATATTTGTTTGTTGCTATGATATCTTTGATTCTGATTTTATTTTTGTTATTCAACACTCATCATCAGACTATGCCTGATTGATAAACTAGAGTTTTTAAAAGTCAAATACTTAAACATCTAAACAGAACTCATTCAATGTTGTTTTACTATAATCAATAAGCAGATTGTAACTTGATCAATGAACTTTGACTAGACACACATTGGACATTGATAAGTCAGTAGTCAGCAGTTATTCATTTTGTTAAGAAGCCTGAATCCTACAGACGGTTCGTTGTGACCTTGAATGGTATAGTGCTAATTGATTTAGGATCAAATCCTCCATAGGATCATCAGAATACAGGTACATTTTGTTGACTAGTGCTGAATAACACAAAACTTAGATCCAGAGTTATATGTTAAATGAGATAGATACTTTTTTGTTTGACTTGTAGAATGAGTTATTCAAAACAACAGCCAAATATTATTATTATTATTATTATTATTATTATTAATGACTCTTATTAAAAAAAACTTTCGATTTATTATTAAAAGCTGAATTGATATGACGATAGTAATGTTAATTATGATAATTAGGTGAAAAGAGCAATTGATCAACTAGTTCAATTTATATGTCACATGGAATAATTTCATTATTGATTATTTTCTGTGTTTGTTTGTATTTTTTGAGGATGAGAAAAAAAATTATACAGAACTAGAGTTATTCGATATCAGAGAAAAAAATAATAAATCACAATGAACTTTCGGTATTTTAATGTTCACTCATACATGTAGTACTTATGTGTGTGTGTGTTCGCATGTATGTACGTATGCATGTGTGTGTAGTGTGTGTGTATGTATGTATGTGTACGTAAATAATGTGAAGTGAAACTTGATACACCTTTTTACTTGGTTAGTATATAAGATGTAAAAAAAAGAGATTGATTGATTGACTAACTTATATGAAAAGATGAATGTTTGTATTGTAGGTGTTAAATTTTTCAAAATTTCATAATACTCATTGTAGTATTAGTAGTAGTAGTAATGATAATAATAAGCTTTGATTCATGTTTTCTAATAGAAAATACTCAGATTGTATTTTATTCAATTTATAGGTACATAGTTTTTAAAAAAATAAATATTTTGGTCTACTGAATTGTTTGTTAGAATTTTAGTACTTAAACATTGAATTGACACAAACAATGTCAAAAATGTGTAACTTAACAATCTTCACAACCCCGTAATGCAAATTACCTGTGCGCACTAGTGACTAGCTTCGTGAGGAATCTTCTCCGAGTCCTAGTGAGAAGACGTGACCAGTGAAGTTCAACCTGTTCGGGTGTATACCGCACCTGCCGAAGACTGTGTATGAGGTTGCGCAACTCCGTGAATTTGATCAAGTTAGACATTAACACCGTTAGATACCGGCTCAGTGGTCTAACGGTTTGGGCGTTCGCGCACAATACTAGATGTGCTGGTTTCGAATCCTGCGGGGTGCATGAGTCGTGGATACGCATTGCTGAGGAGTCTCATACCAGGACGAAACGGCCCTCCAGTGCTTCCAGGTTTCTAATGGTGGTCTAACATTGATCGATTCATGGTTTCAAAAATGTGTAACTTAACAATCTTCACAACCCCGTAATGCAAATTATCATATAGTCAGTCTTCTTAATCTGAATTTGAATGAACTAAATGTGTAACAATATTTAAAATGTTTCCTTGTTGTTTCATGGTTTAATTCAAGGTAGTTTCTGTTGTGTAAAAAATTATATTTCCACTATTCATATGTATATAGACATACATATACCTGTGAATACTTTGCGTTTGTGATTTACCAAGCAAGAATAATGATTTTCTTTTGGCTAACGGTTGTTAGTGAAATCCAGAACGCTTTTTTCCTACTTTTTGTCAGTTAAGTGTATTGTTATCTCAGAAGGGATATTGATATCAGAAAGCTTGACTCAGTATCTATCGCTCCAGACGATGGGCAGTATCAAGTCATCTGTTCAAAGCTAAGATATTCGAACAGAGACTGAGTAAAATCAGTTTTGGATATCGGCAATTGGAAAATGAAAACTTTTATGATTATTTCTAAGTACTATTCTTTAATCCTACCAGTCATATTGTATAAATATTCTTAAGTGAGATCGATTTAAGACATTACCTAAAAACCCTAGACCTAGATTTTATGATAGTTGTCACTAACCACTAAAGGACATCTTGAATCTTAAGGAACCCAATGACCTATTTTATCCAGTTTCATAATCCAAAACTTTACCCAACAGCCATTGAGTGTACGACTGGCCACAATGAAATGTGATCAAACGGTTCTGACATATATATATATATATATATATATATATATATATATATATATATATATATATATATAATCAGAGAATCAATTGTTTATAGTTACTGAATGCATAAAAATCACTCATTTGCATGCTGGGTCTAAACTATTGATCTGTCTCACAGTAATCCAACTGACTACCATATTTAATATGTCACATGATTATGTTCCATAGGGACTGATTTTTTGGTGATTAAATACTATGAATTAAATAGTAATAACAAAATAATTGTAACTTTATGGTAAAAATGTCTGTTTCTGACGTTTGGTGACCTAAAGCAGATCTTTTCTTCAGAGTAAATAAATCCAATATCTACATTTAGTGGTTTTATTTCTCATGACCTAAGAATCTTCTAAAATTCTTTTGTCAAAATACAATACTTTTTCATTATCCTCAAGAATGACAGTGAATCTTGTGTCTAACATAGATATTATATGCATAACGGTATCAGCTTACTCCTGCAGCTAAGATTCCAAATTTTTACTTGGAGGAATTTAGAATAATCAGATACACGTGCTCAGTTACATACCTTTCAGGCTGCAAGCTCCTGCTTCAAAGGTGACTCGGATATCTTTTAAGAAGTATAGAGAGCAGCTATCCGAGAAATTCTAGAACTCTGAGGTTTATCATACTCAAGGAGGTATACAAGTTAGAACTTTACACCCTATAATATGGTGGATTTTAAGGTGATCTCATTTCGGAGTAGAAAATACCAAGGAATGATTTTGGACCTGAACATCCTCACCTTTTCTTTCCGATAGATCAAGACAACTTAGAAGATATATCAGGTGTGTACAAAAGCCAAGGACCAACAAAATACCTGTGGAATACATGTTTTCTTACTGAGTAATTAAATTCTGGAACCAGTTACTTGAAGACGTGATATCAGAACCTTCACTTGTTTCGCTGAAGTAGATAGATTAAATTATGCAGAAAGACACCTAGAGTGGTCTTACAGTGTCGCGGCTCAAAGAACAGATAAAGACGACCGTCTGGTGCAGCTGTGCTCAAATAACCGCCTATTTCTGGCAAATGACAACTTTAAGCATAAGGATAAACATTTCTTGACGTGGTAATCCCCAAATTTAACTCAACGCTAGACCCAACTAGACCATGTTGCTCTCAGACACCAATGAAGGGGCTCGATAGAAGACTGCCGCTGGTTCTGGAGCACATGTATGGATTCAGATCATGTTCTAGTACGAGCACGTATTTGTCTGCGGCCTACTGAATAAATGAGAGACACAGTAAGGAAACCTCTTTGAGTTCTGCTTAACGATGGCATAGCCAGGAATATACTTCAGGACCAACTGGAAAAACAGTTAGACAACCATGCACGTGTTACTCACTCCAAGACAGCTTGGAATGATATCCAAGAAACTGTGTGGATAACAGTAATATTTTCCAGAAAGTTAAAATTGTTAGGGTGGTGCAGTGGATTTCACTAGCATCCACCAAACTGATAAATGCTCGAAAACTCTGTCTCCGGACATGATGATGAGCGGAAGCAGCTTAAGCCAAGGCTGATAAAAAGCCTACTCAATGATTGCTAATAATGGTGGGTAACGGAAGTAAACGTGATGGAATAGGCAGCAGTGATAGGTAACAGTAGACTACTATTCAGACTTATCAAGGAAACCGGGATTAGGAATCAGGCTGTTAGCGAGACTATCTTGAATGAAGACGAAACTATTATTCATTCTCACTCCAGGAGATTGGATCGATGGGCAGATCTCTTTGAGGAGGAGTTCAACTGGACTTCAGTCACACTTCGGTTACCCATGACCTCCAGTCAACCTCAGTAGCATGTTGATGTAAGTCGTTCAACTGTTAATGAGGTTGAAAAGGCTATAGGCAATCTAAGACAAAGGAGAGCGATAGGCCCTGATAGGTTAATCCCTAAGATTGTTAAGAACGGCAGTCCAGTTTTAGCAGTGAGACTGACTGAGATCTTAAGCAGAATCTGGGAACTGGACGGAATTTCATTTGATCGGTTTCAATCACTGACTGTCGCGGTTCATAAGAAAGGACAAAGTCCTCTTGTGACAGTCACAAAGGAATCGGTTTAACTGATATTGGCTTCAAAAAAACCTGGGCACTTAACTAGAGCTCGTGAAGAGCAGACTGGTTTCAGACCTGGATGTGGATTTACAAACCAAATATTCACACTTCATGAGGTCCTAGAGAATAGGGACAAATTGCGACGTCCTACGATCATTGTTTTCCCTGACCTTTACGGTGACGTTTGACTCTGTCGATCTTTAAGTTCTGTATCAGTATCTGTCTTTCAAAAGTGTACCAAAATGGTCCATCAACCTTATACAATCTTACCCCTCAAACACTACTAATCAAGTGAGAGCTTAGGGCGAACCGCTATCGGAATGGATTACGTCGAGTGGCGTTCGTCAGGCTCAGCTAATTACCCCATTCATATTTAACTTTGTCACTGAAATGCTTTTAGAGAAGACACTTTCATCGTCTGAGTTTCCAGCAGTTGACCTTCTATTAGGAGACACGCTTGTTGACCTGGAATATGCCGGTGACATAGCTCCATTTAGTGAAGACGCAGACAACATGTAGAGCCTTCTG